CGGATGTAATTTTTCATTAATTATACAATTAAAAAATTTATTTTTACACTATTCATATATTGTTGTCCTTATTTTGATATTTTATCTTTATTTTATAAATTCTTACACTAACTTATTCAATTATAGTTAATTTTTCGACGGCATCAACCATAGATAACCTTAAATTAAAAATAACTTAATAATTTAACGGACATGTGTTGGTATTTATTTTCAAGCTTGTTTTAATGTAATAACTATTAAAATTTGACACCGTCGTGTTATAGCGTTTTAAACGAAAGAATATCCATTGAAGTAACTATAAAATATTTCAATTTTATGACTGTAAAAAAATATATAAAATTGTCCACTCACTAATTATCTATTTTATGTTGTATTGTCTTATTAAAATACATGATTAAGTCAGAAACACATTCTATAATGATTTTGTCATGGAAAGTTAAAAGGTAGAGATTATAATACATTCAAAATCTTTTTTAAGATATAGATGTTAGAATATTTGTTATAAATTAATAATTTTGTATGTAACTATTGATTCGGTTATTAAATTGTTTCGTGTTTGTTATTTGTTAAATAACTACATAATTTAATAATTCTAATATTTTACTAAAATTAAATTAAGATGGTAAAATATAAATAAAATTAACGAAAGTATTAAAGTGGTGTTAATTGAAAATCATTTTAAAATCAACATATTATATTGTAGCTGTGTTTTATACATTGGCGTATATTCTAAACATTTTTTTTTTTTTTTGTTAAATTTATGAAAACTGTTGGTTTATAGAACTATATTTCGATGTATTTTTAACAACTAAATCATTGTTTTAATTGTATTTAATTAGCTGATGTGGTTTATGATTTTTCCACTAATAATGACCACTGAATCGTTTTCATTGCGAGTTTGATATGAATTAATGATTTATATTCATTTGAATATGATTAAGAAGTTTTATGTGGTAAAAAAACGAATTACACGGACTCTAATTGCTAATAATATTCTGTGCTTTACTTTCATAATAGTACTCTAAGTATAGAGAAATACTCACGACATATCGATTATTACAGGCTATAATTACTGATATTTACTAAGAAATCAAAATTTCTTTTAACTAGAAAGTTATTGTAAATATTAGTACAACATTGGTCACAAGTGATAAATGAACAGATATAAAAAAAGTCACTCAAGAATTTTTCGGTTATATCAATATAACAACAGAATTGTGCACTTGTTAGGCTCGAATTTTTCATTTATCATGATTTATTAGTTACTTGAATATGTGTTGTCTGTTTTAATTTTTTTATGCCGATTTTTACTGATAATTAATCAAAATCAATTTCTCAGAATTATTTTCTTGGAAAATTACTGGTTTTAATGACGTGTATTGTTTATTTAACCAATTAATTCATTCGTCCATCGAATTCGTGGTACTTCATGGGATTTTAAACTAATTTATGATTAATAAATAATGAAGAGTGATGAATGATTAGAATGTAAATTTATAAAATATTACATTATGCCATTTTTTTTTATCATTACGATTGTTGGTCAACCGTGTCAAATAGTGACCTTATTAGCTATTAATTATTAGTCTCGTGTATCATATCGTTAACCTGATTAATAAAGCGGTTTGTCTTAACCTATGCACATTTCGTTTGACTTTGCATTCATCAGTATAAGCTTACCATATATGAGCCCTCTATTGTTCTAGGTTGGGGTCGCGGCACCCATTTCGCTTTCTCCTTGTCATATACAACGCGGTTTGCTTTCTCTGTGCTATGACCCACAGTTGCCCATATTCATTCATATGTTGCCGAGGTATTTACTGTGCTTTATTTGTTTTCCATTCGACGTCTGTTCTAGACTAGAAGAACGAACAACCACATAATCCAATAATCGACACTTTGTTTATTAAAGTAGTGCATTAACTTTTTCGACTGGCGTCGTCAAAATGTAATATTGACCTAAAGAATATTATATTCTTTAGGTCAATATTACATTTTAATAATTAACGAAAAAGCTATACGTTTCTTGCAATAATTTAGCTAATCAACTTAAGCGGCTTTCAAAATATCTAATTCCTTTAAGCACACAATGTATCCATACAATAATTTTTGCATTTCATTAACCGTTGTTTTGTTACGTGACTGTCAACGGTAATAAAGGAAAATTTCATTTTGTTCTTTTTTAATTATTTCCGCTTTTAGATTGTTTTATGGCATAGAATAAACTTATTATTTTTTAATACTGTCAGTTATTTATCGTTGTTAATTTTATAATTTCAGTTGTAAAATAACCTTACAACAATAATAGTTTATTCAATATTATTAACTGAATTATACTGGTTCGTAAAAAGAAAAATTATTTTGTTTTAGTTCCATGATATTTTTGTAAAATTCTAAAAAATCAATATAACAATATAATATAAGCAATAATATATTTTTTATTGGTAATGGGACACGAAAAAGACTATTTAATGACTAGTATGTATTTTTTAAATGACAAAAAACACATGCCATTGAGCTGTGCCGACCTATACTATTTGATTGGTTGTTTTTCTCAGAATTCGCAGTATTGATTGCGGTTAGATTGAGTGTTTTTTTTTAGTGTGATTTCGCAATGTAGAGATAATATCTGAAGATGATAACTTAAAATTACACTGTTAGTAATTACGTCAGCTATTTTGACTAGGCATAAAAGTTTTTTTTATTAATTGATTTTCAACTATTGCTTACACTAATCGCTTGTTTATTATATACAGATGAGCATTCTAATTTGAAGTTTTTCGTTAAAAAAAACCTGTAAATTTCTGTTATAAAAGCTATACATTAGCATTTAATTTATTAGAATTTCCTTACTACTGCGTTTGTGATAGGTCGTTGTATTACATTAACATGTGTGGTTAGTGTTGAAAGGGAAATACTACTGAATATATTTTCTGGTGTAACATTTCCTTGTTGTCAAAGCATTTCTTCCTTGTGCATTCTAAGAACTTTGCAACTTACAAAATACGATATGTTGCTAAATGATAACCTGCTGTATCTATTTTACTTGTGAACATAACATATCCATTATTACACCGCTATTATAATCTGTATTTACAGTAAAATAAGCTTGACTAGTGCAACTAAAACCTGTTTCAAACATGTATTTGCTCACAATTTTGTAGTACTATACTCGTACCCGAGCAAAATTGTGAAAGTAGTTTTTGTATAACTTTATATGATCTTATTTTTTAACGTCCAGAGGTTGTCGCTTTCTTCCGAATATTTCCGTTAACGTTTCATAAGTTCGTGACCCGATGACGTATTTTGTTTATGTATTATGTTAGCTTAATGATGTATTTTAACCTGTAGTACTTGGTGGTATTATGAGCCTCCTCTTGTTCAAACGTATGCCATGATGGACAATAGTTTTCATTTTATAATTATGTTATTAATTTAGTGATGGAGAAAAATGGTTGTTTTGAACAGTAACTAGGCCAACTCGGAACGTTTAGCTTTGTAATTACATCTACTAGTGTATATCATTTGACATAAATGTATTATAATATTCTACATAATTGCGATTGTGCTGCTGGTTCTCACAAAGAAGGAAAATTAAACGAAACGTGTAATATGAATGTTTCCGAACAATCTTCAAGTTGATTTACTTTTCTTCAACGCTAGTTTAGCAATACATGTTATAGAATTGTATAACAATACTACCGCATATAATTCTTCTAAATTTCTTATCTAATTCAATTTGTTTTAATGTATGTGAATGACGACTCGTTAAGGAAAGATTTTCGTTCAGCATAGTGGTTTACAAATATTGTTCTCTATAACGATGTTATAGAGCTTAACTTCAGTTTAAAATATGTTTAATTATTTAATTGTATATAAATAATTATTTATATACAATTAATTAACACAATTGTTTAAATTATAATCTAAACAATTGTATTAAATGCTATTTTTCGGTACCGATGCGCATTAAACTAGTTATTATAAAACATAATTAAATGATTTTTGTGTATATTTTCATTAATATTTCATTATAAATATTAAGAATCTAGTTTATTATAAACAATTGGTTTATAAATAATTGATGAAATTTACAAATAAAAAAGTGGCTCATTCTAATGGTGACCGACATTTTATGACATTTTTTTTATCATATTCTGGTTTGGTTGTGTTTGATATCCAATTTTCGTGTATTTCTATCGTAAAAATAGAATATTTAAACTTTCTGTATAGAGAATATTAATTAATTTCTGGTTACTTTCATTCAATAAGTTTCCAGTGTTTGTTGTTTTGATTACTGATTAAATATCGTCTGTTGACATAACTTAAAAAATAACATCACTTGTTGATCACACTAAATCTCAATTATTCGCAAAAAAATCATTTAGTTTAATAATGTGTACTAAATAATTTATTGATATTAAAACAAAATTGTTATTTATTATTATGAACTTGCACATTAGTTCTAAAAAAGTAAAGACATTGAGTACTGACTAGGTCTTATAATCTTTTTCAACATTGAATGAATATAACATGAATTATATTGAAAATATTTTATGTTTGGTTGTACTAGGAAATTGTTTATTTATTTTCACTTTTTCTGTATCGGTATATTGTATCATTTACCGGTTGTATTACCTATATCCTTATTGGTTTAATAGATGGAAATAATTGTTTGATCAAATTATTGCACTTATAAAGAAATATGTTTTATGTGTAAAATACCAATTAACTGACGTGTGACTCTTGGAAATGGAATTGAAAATGTTGAATATATTCTATTATTTTGCTTTACTAATAAAAAAAATTGTTTTTCGACCACTTTACAACAAATTACTTAACAATTGAAACTTAAGTTATACTTGACTACGAGTTCTAATAATAAAAATGAATTACACGTGTATATCACCATAATTACATATAGAAATCTTAATCTGTACCTTTTTGACCATATTTTCATTACTATTTATTAATGTTCGATGATTATAATTATGTTTTAGGCTTCAACGATTGATGGTCGTCGAAAGGGAGCATGCCTATTTTGCCAAGAATATTTCATGGACTTGTATCTCCTCGCCGAACTTAAAACTATCAGTTTAAAAGTGACTACTGTAGATATGCAAAAACCACCTCCTGACTTTAGGTAAAGGTTGAATAAATAAATTAAAACATTTCGCCGAAATTATATCTTCATATCAAACGAACAGTATGTATAGAAAAGGGATACTTTTTGTAATGATGGGATGTAATGCTAATTTTTAGAATTACTGTTCCATGTCCTTGTTTTATTTTCCCAATTTTTCGCGTTGATAGTTGTATTCGTATAGTTTCATTTAAAATTACCTTATAAAGATACAAAGTTGTGACTTGATTAAATATAATTTTTTTTATTGTGATATTTTGTGTACAAAATGATCAAAAATAATTATTGTCTCGATGTGAAATGAGAATTATTTCCGACAACCAATTATTTAGTTTTTTAACTAATTTATATCTTTTTATCAATGTTTTGATTCACAGGAGTAACTTTGACGCTAATCCACCACCAATTCTTATCGATAACGGTATGGCTGTGTTGGAAAACGAAAAGATTGAGAGGCACATAATGAAGAACGTGCCAGGCGGATACAACCTCTTTGTACAGGACAAAGAAGTAGCGACTCTGATCGAAAATTTGTACAGTGTACGTATCATATAGTGATTATGATGCTGTAAATAGATTTACACGTCATACACAGTATTAAACTGCACTGCAGCCGGTTAGTGGTGTAACAGTAATTTTGTCAAACCAGTCAGTATTTTACTTTCCATTTCGTTTTGTTTCTTGTTATCATTAATTTATTACTCCCAATTGATTCCACCTCTCATCTAGTTCAGAGCATAGTAGTAAATAATAAACAGTTCGTCCGGTTTCTCTTCCATACTGCGTCGTGCGCGTATCATTGCATTGCAATTTACAGGTGGCTAACCGTCATAGCTGTATTACTCATACAATACCCGTGTTTTTATTACTATGTCAACGACCGCTTCCCCGTCGCTTGTCTTTTAATTGTGGTGGACATTATGATAATGATAAGGAAATAACTTTTGTTATATTATTCATTTTACCGTTAGAAGAGTGCTTTTAAATTATTTTTTTTTATGATTTTATATACATTACATAAGATATACATATTAAATCATTGGATAATCATATTTATATTATATGTTAGTAAGTTAAAATGGAGTGGTTGTGAAAATAAATAATTAAAAGTCCTAAAATTGTTTATCTACAAGTATTTACGTGTGCTGTTGTTGTTAAGAGGTTTTTTTCATTGCTTACAAGTTTTTAAATATTTTTTTATCTTATTCGTGTAGGTTTTTTCTTTCTAGCACATGATACTTTATCACTAGAATGAGATTAAACGCCTTTGTTGATTACTTCGAATTGTCTACACATAACTATAAAAACATTCTTTAGATAGATTTTTAATATTCATTGTACATAATAGGGACGGGAATTATGAATCTTTTGAATCGATTTATCAAAATAACTCGTTCGTACTGTTCATTTTTAGCTGATTGGATAATAATAAGTATAAAAAGTTACTGTGTGATAGATTCATGGAATATCCTTAATCGTGGATTATCTTGAATCTACTAATAATTTAAATAAATAACGTTAGTAATTGTTTTCTTAAATTCCGAAAATATTAGAAATTGAAATAAATAATAAAGGAAAAATGTTTATTGTATGTAAAAAAAGAAAATGTCGAATTTTTTTTCTCCAAAAATTAATTTTTTCTCTATCATTTTAATATATAATCGGGCAAAATTTATTTTCTCAGAAACTAATAATAATTCAACATCTATTTCAATAAGCTTGTATAATTTTTTTAAAAAGAACATTAGTAATTAATATTTATTAATAAATTACAATTTTTATTTTATAATTTAAATTATAAATTCATCAATAATTAGTAGATTTTTAACACAGAAATATATTGTTATTTCTTGTGAATAGTATTAACCTTTAATTGAAAACAGCACATGATTAGTATAAATTATACATATGTATATACAGGAAGGCATGAAGATATGAAAAATTCACTAACTTTTGATCGAATGACCATTTTACGTTAATTTTTTTTTAAATAATTTTTATACTTAAGGATTATATAAATAACATAACAAACCGTGTTTTTTTAATTTATTAAAAAAACTAAAAAATTTAAATATTTATGCAAAATGTAAATAAAAATTTCAAGACTGCCATTTCTTAAAGTAGATTATAACAAATATTTTGGTAAAAAAAATATCTTATTATTGTATAATAGTAAATTATCTGTAATATTTTAAAGTTTTTGAAAATTTGAATTTTTGTGTTGAACTTTACGATATCAAACATTCAAATATTAATTAAGAAAAGGACAGAAGAAAACGAAATTTTTTTACGCTCGTTGATCTGATAAACAGAAGATCAATGCATAAATGCTGTGAACATAGATTTATGTTCACACTAGATATTAATTATAAGTATGTAACTTTTTCATGAAAATTATCTACCCTTGAATGAATGAGCGCTTGTAAATGGACATAAAATTTGATCGAAGATAACAAATCTTTTTGGTATTAATTTATCACGAGTCCAAACCACGGCCTTTGTTGTTTCAAATGATAAGACATTTGTTATGACAATCATCATTGATTTTTTGATATACTGAAACTGACTAAGTTTTAAATAAAATAAATAAATAATAAAAACTCCAACATGTAACCCAATCATAATTCAAAATTAAAATTGGCTTGTTTATTTTTTACATATAGTTATAATATATTATATAATTTATTTTAACCATAGATTAATAATGTTTGAAATATATTAAATTATTTAAATTAAAGTTGAAAGATTACTTTTTTTGCTAAAGCTCAAGTCTTAGAAAACATTATTAATTTTATATTGTATTTCATTAATTTATAAATAATTATTAGTTATAAAATATAATTTTGTTTGAACAACTTAAAATCAATTATATTTAAAAATTTGCAATTCTACAAATCAAATTTTAATATCAAATTAAAATTATATAAACTACAATAACACAATATTTTAATTCTGGTTATCTTGTTATTAATAACTATAAATTATATAGATAAATTTTTTTTATTGATTTCTGTAAATATATTTCAAATTTTAGAAGCTTAAATTGATGCTGTTAAAAAAAGATGACGTGGCAACTAATAGTTTATTGTCTCATTTGCGTAAGATTAATTCACACTTAGAAAAGAAAAATACACGATTTTTAACTGGAGACACAATGTGTTGTTTTGACTGTGAACTTATGCCACGTTTGCAACATATACGTGTAGCAGGTAAACAAATAAAATTGTTTCTGTCATCAAAAGATTTGATTCTATATCATAATTATAAACTTATAGGAAAATATTTCATGGATTTCCAAATTCCAACTGATTTGAGGTTTCTGTGGCGTTACATGTTGCATATGTACCAATTGGATGCATTTACACAGAGTTGTCCAGCTGATCAAGATATAGTCAATCATTATAAACAACAACAGGTTTGTTATTAAATTAAATATGGTGTCCTAGTCCTATAGTGAAAAAATGTAGTTTTGATAAATCTTTATGTTGATCAGTGATAAAATATATAAGATCATTGATTTATCATCGACTACTAAATTTCTTCTAAAATATTAATACTTTTGAAGATTTTTATTTTTATTTTATTTGTTTGTTAGTTATCATTTATTTTTTTATTTTTGAGAGGTTAAATATTTTTTAGATTTATCCCTAATCCATTTTAAGGGTACCATTTTTTTTTTTTTTATTGCAACATGTATATTTAATTAGGTAAAAAATTATATTAAATGATCCAACTAAGAAAATAACTGGTTGATAACAGCTTTTGAACCAGTATTATGGGAGTTATTAACATTTTTAAATATTAGTTTGGTGGTGAGATGTAAACTATGTTATTTTTATCATGACTTATCACTTAATAAATTAACCACTCTGTATATCAATATAGTCATATCATGATTATTTTTGTAGACCTAGGACTGGGACTAGAAATACAATAAACTCATTGACTTTTTGTTTGAAAAATATGATTTTTTGATAGAATCTCTTGTTACAGAATGTGAAAATGAAGAAGCATGAAGAGTTAGAAACACCGACCTTCACTACATCAATACCAGTTGAACTTGATATTCAAGATGAATAAAGTATATCCATCCTTCTTTCACTTTTTATATGTAAACATCACTATAAACAATGTTTTAGTAAAGTCAATATTGGTATCTAATTTTCTTTTTTTTGTTTCATTAGAATTATTATGTTTTTTTTTTTAATCTACTTATATATGCTTCCTGTTAATTTATTCGTATGTTGTATTATACTATTTTAAATTAGTATTAAAACTAAATAATTGTTATACATAATATTGTATTAACCAACTTTTTTCGCATTTTTATCATGTAAATTTTAATATATGTGTAAAAAATGTTTGTATCAGTGCCTTGATAATTATAATTACATAATTATAATCATTATTTTTGCTCTTAAATGTTTGAATATTTATATTTAATTTCTTTTTCAAACTGTAACTTGGCTACCCTTAAGTTATTTTTTGTTTGTTTCTGATAATTTCTAATAATTGAAACTGTTAATAATATGAACTTCATTTTCTTATCCTTTTTTTTCATATTTCTTAGATAAATAAAAAATGAACTAATATAATACACTCTTACTATGATTAGTTATCAATAATATTTTCCATTGTTTATATTATAAACAATGGAAAATTGTATATTTATGTAAATTTTGATCTTCTTCATTTTTACAAATGATCATATTTTAAAAACTGCTTTGTTAAAAAAAAAAAAACAATTCAGATAATGCAAGAAGCATGATATAATATAATGACTATTAAGGAATTTAAGTAGCACTTATTTTATATCTTGTATAATAGTTTTAGTGAGACTAACATTTAGGATCAACAAAAAAAATATTTATGTGTACTAAATAAAAATATCAGAACTTTCATATAAAGAAATAGTTTTTATATATAAATTAGCTTGTCGAGCTAGTAAATCATAATATCATAACAATTGAATACTTTTTTTGGTATAAAAAGTAAAATACAAAACTATATAAATTGTTAATTTAAAAATAATTTTCTTTTAATTACCAAGTTGTGTTTTCCTACCTTGGACATACAACCTAATAAATTTGGAACTGTCTGAACAAAATTAAAAACTCAATCAAAAATTAGCAAACAATTCTCGGTTTTATAGGTAATCATCTAAATTTAATGTATTGATAATTGAGTTATAAAAATAAAATTATTCAATATTTAAAAAAAACATTTTTATTATAAATAAATAATAGAATAATGCACATATTATAATTATTAGGATTAAATAAAAATTTAATGTAAATTCATACAAAAAAAAAATTTATAAAGTATAAATATAAATTTCTTTGTAATTATTATTGCTATGTACACTAGCACACTTTAACTATTCAGATAATTTTGCATTTCTTTTTTGAAAATCTATATACATACTATATATCAACAATATTACTTTGGGGATTACAAAATTTACATTACATTAATTTAGTATAAATATTATAAACATTTGAGTATATAAACAAAAATACATTTAAATACATATTTAATAAATTAATGTTAATCATAAAATATAAATATACAAATTTTAGATTTTTTACATTTTTCGGCAATAAAAAAAGTTATTTTAAAGCAAGGTCAAATAATACTTTTAATATTATAAGTTCAATTTGTATTTTGTAATCAAATTTAAATTTAAAAACAAAAGTAAAGAGAATTTTTTTTAACAAATAAATTGGAAGACTAAAATAGTAAAAATTAAAGAAAAACTTGTGCATATATTGAGATATAATCATTAAGAATAATTTTTGCACAAAGTTTTTGAGCAAAATTGAGCATTTAGGTAACTATTACTAATTTAATAGTTACAATGTGAAAACCCATATCATTATACAGTCAAAGTTTTAATAGATTGTAATGTTTTTATTTCACTTAATAAGTTATCATTAAATTTTAATTCCAATATGAAAAAATTATTATATTATTAATTAAAATTTATTATAAATAACAACTAATTTTTAGATGTGCTAAGAATTATACGTCTGGTTTTATATTTTATGTACACAAAGATATAGTTGAAAATACATTTTATAATTTATATTAGACTTATCAGAGATATAAAATAATTTATTGCATTGATTTTAATATACATAAAGCCTTGCTTTCTTTTAAATCCATTTAATCAATTTCAAATTAACTGTCTAAATAATATAATTTTTTAAGTCAATTATATTATTTATTTAACAATTGTTGAAAATTCTGCTTAGCATCACAATAAACATCAATCAATATCTAAGAAGTCTAAATTTTAAATAGTAATTCTGTATCATCAGGAAATTTGGCACTTGAATTTAGTTAAGTATTAATACATAAATATATTGGATATATATATATATATATGTGTGTGTGTGTGTGTATAATTAAATTTATTGTATTATAATAAAGTAAAACAGAATTGTTGACCAACAGAGGGGTTCAAAAATGAAGAACTACAGAATTATATTAATGTGTGCGAGAAAGATAAGTCATAAATCTATAGTTTTGATTAATATTACATGCTATATTCATCAAATCTAGATCTTTACTAAAAAGTCTTATGAAATAGAGCTTTATATGATTAGCTCTACAAGTAAAAACTGTATTATTTTGTCATCATACAAAAATATGTTTATTGATTTAAGATATGTAGTTCATAAAAAAGAGTAAAAGGCTTTATAACTTTGGAATGGTAGCTATTTGCAATAAAAATAGAGCTACAAGGAATTTTTTTCATATTCACTAAACCCTTTATTTGAAATTATCTAAGCACAAGTTTCTTCAGCCCAACCATCACTATCATATTCACTTCCTGAAGCAGAATCAGAATCCGATATCTCAACAGCCACCCGGCGAGCTAAAATTGAAGCAACATCATGTAATGCATTACTTTTTTCACCTTCTTTTTGTTTAATTTTTTCAACTTTTCTCAATTCAACACCTAAAAAGATAATTTTTAAAAATATTAATCTAAATAATAAAATATTTTATTATGATTCATACCATCTCTAATAGCTTTTAATAAATCACTTCTTGGATCATAGTGAGGAACATGTCCAGGACCAGGTGTTTTTCTTAAAGCACTCACTGTACCACTGCTTATGTTGGTCACTGTAGTATTAACATCATTCATGATACCATTAAGTTGCCTCATATTATTATGATCAGATGGAAGAATTAATGGTTTTGATTGAATAATGTGATTAGGAGGAGATTTCTATGGATAATAATTTTATATCATTATTTTTTTATTAACACTAATATAACAAAAGTACTTTTAATTAGGTAGTTATAATAATACTAGGCTCCACCCCAGACCCGGAGCCCTTCGAGCCTTACGGGCTTTCGGCGCGTAAGCCTCTTTGGGCCGTCATCATAAGTAAGCCACTGATTCCGATAGGGGTACCCGGCTACGGTAAGTGTTTTCCAGAAAAAATATTACATCAGAATCAGTGTAACAAAACTATATATAAAAATGTTATTATTAAAATCAGGAAAATTCAAAAAGGGAATATAGTAAAATGTATTGGGTATAAGGTTGACGTTTGTTAATGAGGTATTCCCTTTAGGCCTATTCAAAAATTATTTTAAGAGGATATTTAATATTTTTTACTTTGTTAAACATGTTATAGATATTTTTTGCTAAAAATTAAAGTAATGATGAAAAAAAGGATATTACGTCCTTATTTATTAGAAGTTGCCTAAAAAAATATTAATAGCGCTGGTTCAAGGGGGGCCCATATCTCTCTTTAATACACCCCCGTTATATACAAAAATGATTAATAATCTAATTATAATAATTGTTTATATTATAGAATAATTAAAAAAAAATTCTGCAGGTTATTATACATGGCACATTGTAAAAAATTTAATTTTGATAAAAATATTGGTAACTGCGATTTAACGTTGGACAGCATAGTTATCATAGATGAATCCCAATTCAAAAGATTAACTCATAGTCTCATACATCATATATGAGAAAAAAAAAGACTATTAATAATGTACTGTTCTGACAATGAAAGTACAAACTTATATAATTATAACGTCTTGAAATTTATATATAACATAATATTCTTTGATAAAATATAGTGCAAATGCAAAATAGTGTCTTAATAATAACACATATTACACTGTATAATTAAGGTTCATAATAAACGTATGAGCAGAAATGAATCACTGCGCATATTAAAACGATGCACGTGGACGAAAAAAAAAAAGTTTGTAAAACGGTGAAAAATGAACGGATTGAATTGATTTTTTGATCATATCTCAGGAATGTCATTAGGCAGGTCTGATGAAAATTTCAAACCTTAAGTCGTAAAACGCTGGCGTCATCAAACATTTTTCTCGAAAACTGTCAAAATTTTAAAACGCTCACGGGCGGCAAAAATTTTCTGACCTTTGCCAATAATTATCCCGTAGTCTGGTGACCGAGTACTTTCGTTGAAAAAAAAAATTTTGAAAATCCGAGCATGCTAAGTAATTTTTCCAGAAAAGCGTTTTTTTCCTTGTTCTATTATATAGTAAGATATAGTGTTAAAAAATAAGGAAACAGGTCAAATGTTATAAACAATAAGAATAACAGAAACCTTTTTATTTACTTACTGAACACTATATAAATGTTATATATAGAGCCCAGAATTATATGCATTAATAATTTTTTTTTTTTTTTTGAGCTACTTTGAAGAGTCCCGAGTTTAAGAATCTTTATCATAGTGTTAAATAGAATAAGGGCTTAAATAGAACAGCAAACATATTAAATTGTTTAAAATTATTATAAATGTTCACTTATAAAGAACATTTATGAGAATTCAAAACAAAGAAATTGAAATTTTTGAATATTTTAATTTTAAAAATAAAAACATTATCAGTATTATGAGCACTAAAATAAATTTTTAAAGGCACAGCATTCTATTTATACATTTTTAAAAATATTAAATCCTGATATTATGTGAACTACATGATATAGAAGGTTATGCCCTGATATTTATTTATAAATTTTAAATATTTATTAATATCATTACAACTTTCTCAAAAAAATTGTTAAAAACCCTAACACTGGAAGCAACTTAATAAATAATTAAGCTTCTACACAAATAAAATTACTAAGAACAAAATCTTTATAATAATATAAATATTGAATGAAAAATAGTATAAAACTAGACTTACTTGTTTTGGCGGTGACTTGATATCGCCATTAGCAATTGATGTAGGTAAATCAGGCATTGGTGGCAATGGTGGAGGTGGAGGAATGTTGGCAGATGGAATAGGTGGACTAATTGAAACTGGAGGAGGTGGTGGAGGTAAGGGTTCTGAATAAGATATATTGTTTTCAATTGGTGGAGGTGGTGGTGGAGGTAATGTTTCACGATTTGAACTCAAGCTACGGCCACGTGTTGGCGTGCTTGCAGATGAAACAGTAGGGGTACTAAGAGAAAAATTAAAAATATTATTATAAATAAATAACACCACATTTTATTTAACTTTACCTATTATTTGAATTAGTATTGCTTGGCGGAGCTGGTGGTGGTTGAGTTGGCCTGATTCTTCCACCTCTGCTAGGAGTACCTAATGGACTTAAAACTTCACCCATACTACCAGCATATTGATAGTTATTTTGTTGTGTTTGACTATTATATCCAGAATTTTCATCATAAATAATATTGTTACTAAGTGGCGAAGCATAATTATTGCTAAAATATTAGAACAAAATATAAGTCAGTCAATATATTTTAAATAATAACCTAAGATTTAATATGATGTATTAATATAATATAAAAAATTATGAATTCATATTTGTTTCACTCAAAACAGCAATAAATTTAACTAGGAATAGGGTTATGGAGGAATGGTAACTTATTTTACCATTATAAAAAAAGAGTCCTTAGCTACTGCATATACCTAAGCAAATATTTAGGCTTAGGCTAATTACAAGTGATCTTATTACTTTCATTATACATAACAATTTACCCGTTACCTTACTTATTTAACACCATATACAATAAGAGGCAGTAGTGTAGCCAGGGGAGCTAAAAATTATATTTTTATATATATCAAGTGAGTTATTCAGTTGAAAAGTTGCATGTTCAAAATAAATGAATAATTTTATTTACTTTCTCATATCTAGTTGTAAGCTGATTCACCCAAAAAAATTTAAATGGCAATAAAATTTTTTTTTTTGGACACGTCCTTTAAGAACTGCACATTTCAAGTATCATATACATTTTTATCAACAATAAAATATTTTATTCAATCATATATTTTTAATTTATTTAAATATTTTTCTCAAACATAGTTGGTTAATGTATAAAAATCACTATTGGAGAAGGAATATTAAAGATATTTGAGAATGGAATCTCAAACATGAATGGAAGTTAATTTTACTGTGAATATCGTTGATTACTGTAAATAGGAATAGGACTAACGGATTTATATTTTTAATGTTAGTTGGTAATAATAAATATTATAAGCACTACTGGAAAATATAGTCTGGATTTGGCATTATAAACTACATTTCTCTTGGAATAATTCAGAAAGTTGCATATTAATAATCAGTTGGTAATATACTTAAGAATACTGATCATTAATGTAAAAATGATTATTGATAATTAAGACTGGGCGACTTTTGAATTGAAATATCAATGTATAATATTATTTTAACTATTGATAACTGTACAAGAGTAATATAAATATAATGTTTGGACTTAAATGTTCTTATGACTGAATGAACGACTTTATTTAAACAAATGTAACATAATACTAAAACTGATTTATTTATTCAAATTGCTAATTATCTATTAAATAATTTTTGTTATTGCTTCTAACATATTATTGCCATTTTTCTTACATAATTTATTTTCAGATGTATTGATAAGTACCTAGCTCTTTAAGTATTACATATTGAATTCTAGTTAATTGTTTAAAGAATATTTTAAGTAAAATATCTCCTTAAAAAATGATCACTTCGGGGTTTATCTTGGTATTACCCATATCAAAATCTTCGGTAAGTTACTGATTAGTGATCCTAAGTATAATCAATACAAAAAAAATATTAATTTTACCTTTCAATGATATTCATTGGAGGAGGACTATATATTCGTCCATCTACCGTGTTGTTCAAGTGATGATTTTGAGGAATTTCAGATCCATAAGATCTACGTAATTCAATACTATTTGGTCGAGATGGTCGCTGTTCATTCATAGATACACCTAACATCATTGTACTTTCTTCGGTATAATCATATGGCTGAAAAAGAATTATTCAATAATATATATATATGTATACAGAGTGGAACAGATCTAACTGACAACTCATATAACTTATGATCCACAAAACATTTTATACTTTTTTTTTTTTTAATCAATTTTTACAATATAGAACTATATTTAAAATGTTTTATGTTATTTTTCGCAATTACAAAAAATATTTTTAAAAATTAATTATTTTTAAGATTTAAAGATAGCTATTTCATAGATAAGTTTTAAAGAAAAATTTTGATACCAAAAACTCTTATTTTAATGAAAATTAATTAAAATGGTATCTAATGTTATTAAAAAAAATTATAGAAACATTTTATATGACATGTTCAGTTTTTAATTAAATAAGTTTAATAATCTTAATTATACTACTACTTGTTTTTTCATGGAAAAAAAATTGAGTACTGTTACTAGTAAATAACATAACATTTGATACCATACGAAATTGTCAAAAAAAATCAAAATTTAACAAACTTAAAAATGCTGTATAAACCTAGCTACTGAATTAAATAAAAGTTTTTGGTATAAAAATTTTTCTTTAGAACTTATCTATAAAATGGTTATTTTCAAATCTTAAAAAAAATTTTAATAAAAAAGTTAATTTTTAAAATACTTTTTGTAATTGCGAAAAATAACATAAAGCATATTTTAAATATAGTTCTATATTGTAAAAATTGATTAAAAAAAAGTATATAAGTATAAAATGTTATATAGATCACAATTTATATGAGTTGTCAGTTAGATCTGTTTCAGTCTGTATATATATATATAATGAAAAATATATTTTTTAACTCTATTTCAATAAAAAAAGAAAAAATACTGATTGACATTCAATGATAAGAAATATAATATAAATTATTATAACTGTTGATAATAATGTAAGAATTGTTAATTTCAACAACTATTCAATATTCTCAAGAATAAAACAAAAAAATTTAAAAAGATTTTTATAAACAAATAGAATAAAACCTTAAGTTTAAAATTTTGGTTAATACCATTATGAAGTTCAACAAAGATAACACTTTATTTTACTCGGAGAGATTAAACAAATAAACTTCAGTAAATTACCTGATGTGGAGCCCTATAATGAGAATTATCTTGTGGCATAATATATTCACCATGTTGTGTAGCAAGTTGTCGTTGTCTTTCTCTTGTACTATAAGGTTGTCTAACCCTTTTTTTATGACGGTTACCTCCACCTTCAGCTTTAGGTCTATGTGGCTGTAATATTTTAATAATTTATAGCTAATGATGAAATGAATCTTTACAATACTAAACAATAAAGTATAAACAAATTTTTAAAACAATACAAATTTACCTTTTTTCCACGGTCATGCATCATCTTTTCTGTGTCTTTAAGCATTTCTAATCTCCATAAATTAAAGAAGTAATCTGGATCAGTATAAAACTTCATTCCATCTTTTCCATCTTCCCTGTAAAATTCATAATCGAAACCAGATTAATTTTTTTTTTAAATAAATAAAATTTACATTTTGATTATTCAGAGTTGTCATATGTTCAAAATCCCTAGTCTTAATAGCTTAAATATATATTATTTATGTTACAATTTGATATCAATGTCCCATTGTTTTTTTTTATTTGTTTAATCATAAACATTATATGAAGGTGGTGGGGCCTAAGAACCTTAAAATTCTTACAAATAATAAATTTTTGACTCAAATTTATTATGAGCAAGGTCAAAATATATATATATTTACTATAAAATTTTGAACATTTTTTTTTAAATACATGTTTATCAATTGGAATTTTCCAAATAAGTAGAGGGCTCAACTCCATAATTACTTATTTATCTAATTTCATACCCAATGCCAATAAGAAATTTATAATAAAGAGTTTTCAAAAACAAAAAATCACAAGTCAGATTATTATGATTTCTTTTTACATTTTAAATAATTTGATTTTTTAGACATGTAAAAACCATATTACAGCAAATTATTATATTTTTTGCTTGAAATATTTATGAATGTATCCATGTTTTCAGTTATGAGTTGACATTTTGGACTCCTAGATTGAATCTTTAGAGCGATAGTTACTTGGTCGTGAATATAACTATACAGTCAGGATAGTATAGTTACAACCACGTGGATATATCCGTAAACATTTCATCAAGCAATATTACAATCCACGAAAACTTTAATACATTCATATTATATTTTTGTTAAAATATTTTTCAGTTACCTATAAGGATTGAGTTTGTAGAGTGGTGGAGGTTTATCACACTGTGAATACATTTCTAGCATTGGTGCAGGCATTGTATCTCTTGATACTACTTGTTGATCAAAAACAACAGCACTTTTAAAAGCTTTTCTCATGTGAATGTCTTGAAGTGATACTAAATGTACAGTATAATTTTTTTGTCATAAATTTGTAAGTTTAATGTAAGTTTGTCATACCTATGCTATAATTGGGTTGATAATTTTGTTAAAAATAGAATTTCTTTCAATAAGAATTATTACAAAGTATTACCAACCCATCAAAATTTTTTGTAAGTGATAAAATAATGACTATTTTAAAATTTTGAAAAATTAAAAAATAAAATACATTTTTCTTATTTGAGAAAAATAATAAAAAATATACTTTTAACATAATCTATAACTAAAAAAATTATTTAAAAAATAAAAACAAACATAAAATATTTTCTGGTTTAAAAGTTACTAAAGATGTTATAACATTGTGGGATACCTGTATTTAAGTAATAAATTACCTTCTTCGCCAGTACTATCTAGTTGTTTTGTATTAACAGACAATCTATCTAGTCTTATTTGTAATGAGTTAACTCGTGCTGTAAGAGAATGTGCTTCCCGAACAAGTTCTCCAAACATATCTTCAGCTTGCTTAGATAAACTAGAAAGTTGACGTATAGTATTGGCAAGAGTCCCATTTGTAACAGCTTCAAGTTCATTAGGTACAGAACATGTAGGTCCATAGGCAGATGCTTGTGAAACTGTATTGCGTGTAATATGTACTGGCTCCACTACACGCTTTGGCAAAGGCATTATTTATTTATACTATAAATAAAAAAAATTTATATAAGACAATAAATAATATAACTATAAATCATTGAAAGAATTGGGAACTTGTACAAAATGTACACAATATATTAAAAATATCTAGTATTTTATTATAAAGCAGAAATATGTATAATAAAAAAATTAAAAATGTAAACCATTACTTAATTGATTAGATATTAAATATAAGCTAGTTGTCAGTAATATGGATAAATTACATATATTTTAACATACACATTTTGTTACAAGTCTATTTTACTTTTGATGAGGGTCAATTAAAAGAGGATACTTCCCTATTTATATATTTTATTACTACAATCAAATAATAGGGGGAATAATAACATTGATATAATATTCTTTATCTATTATCACACACAATTATAATTTTGAAAAATGTTAAGTTAAAGTAACCTATATTTTTTAATTATTACTGTTAAAGAATAATAATATAAATAAATAAAATAGTTAACTTTATTTCTTCAATTTAAAAATAGTTTAATTTTTATACAAAATTTAATTCAAAATGATTACCATGAATTTGGTATACACATATATATTATTGTATTAGTAAATGAAATAAATTAGTAATATCCTTACACTTTATTAGTTTACACATTCATAACATATTAACATTACTATTTTTTCTTTATTGTATAACATAAATCAATAATAAAAGAAAAAGAAAACATATATTAATGTAGTTTGATGATTTAAAAAAATTATAAAGATAAGGGTTTGCTAAACTACAATGAAATTAAAAAATATTACTAAATTTTGGTAATCATAATAGTTTGTTGGATAATTAATATTTTATTAATGATAATATTTCATTTTTGAGTATTTTTATATTATTTATAATAAGGTATATTTATACATATTATAAATCAGGGCGTTTCCACTAATATCACTACCATTTTAAAAGTAAATTTTAAACATTTTTAAGTATAATACAAATTTACCATATACAAAAAGGGCATGAAATGAAATGAAAACTAATTTTTGACTTTGTTATGAATCTGTTAGTAAGCCAATATAAATGAAAATGAACACAAAGATCAACTGATATCAGCTATAATCTGAATTATATTCGAAAATAGGATTAAACAAATAATTTTTACATAAGATTGCAAAAGAGTTTATAATTTTTTACATTATTAGATAGAAATGATATTAAAAATTAGAAGTTAAGTTATGCGACAATCCTGCTCAATAGTGTAATATTGATATGCAAGTTAATTATTTATATCTTACCTATAGTAGTTAATGTAAAATTAATCCACACAAATTTATACTGCTTGCTCGATTTGCTTACGTTGATCACTAGAGTAGTGTCATGTTAATTTAGTAATAAATAACTTGGTGGCTACGGATTTCTTTTTGGTGAGATAACGCATGAGAATCCATAACTAGCAGGAAAATTACTGCGTCAACTGACGAGTATGAGATTTAGATAAAGCAAACAGGCGTATGCTATTACCGCATATACTTTAATGGAATAAACAGTCAAGGCCTCAGAGGCGGAAAACGTTCGATACCATCGATTATCACACTAAACGATGAAATCGTGGTACTAACAAATAGCGTACGGTAATTGTTCACAAAATTTCATGGAAGAATATATAGTTCCGCGTTAATACATCACTAAGTGTAGTATTTCTTTATTGTTAGTTTATTTAAAAAAAATTTTTGTACTCCTAATATTATATTAAGTATTACCTAAAAATAAGTAGTTTTATTAGCGACAAATATCAATTAATTAAAATATGAATACATTAAATGATTATGTGTTTCCATAATTTATTAATAATAATTCGATTATATTATAAACCATGCATAAATGTAGTTTCACTCACAAAATTTGTATTCTGATCTCTGAAAATAATTAACGAGGTGGTGTTTAATAAATGAGGTGCTCTTTAGACTTTGTAATATATATAAATAAACTAGTAGAGATTATTAGATCTATGAGACTTCTTAATAAGTTTTATATCATTATTGACTTGCTCAAAAATGTGTTCAATTATGCATTCTTTAAGGCGAATAAAATAGTTATCCTCTCTGCTCATCTAATATTTATATTAATCGTTTCTAGACAATTTTAGTTATGGACTTGAGGCATAAAAAGAGGCTCCATCAACAAGCAATATAGTCTTACATAAATTGTTATATTTCAAAAAAGATATGACACTCTCATTGTAACTTTTTTAAATTAAACCAATGACTTTAAATTGTATTTTTAATTTAAAATAAATTTTAATATTAATTACTTTAATATGTAATTCATACTAATATTATCTTGAAAAGTGATTATATCAATAGATTATACTCTAAAAATTTGGTTAGTCAAAAATGAATTAAATTAAGTTTAAAATGATATATATATATAGAGAGAGATTACAAATATGTACAAAATAAACCTTGAAATTTACAAAGAATGCATATAGACTAAGGATTTCATTCAAGATTATTTCAACATAATTAAATTAAATTTTAATATAATAGATGAATGTTATTGATAGATTTCAAATAGAACATATTCATATTAATAGAATGTTTAATAAAAAATAAACTATTTGAAAATTGATACAGCATTTAGATATATCATTAGAAATAAATAAAAATATTTATACTAAGAAGTAGTTGATGGTGGAGAAACAAGAATTACACCATCTCCTCTAACAAATAACATTGGAATAGTACGTTTAGTAGTTTTATACACTTCCTCGAAAGTTTCTTCATCAACTTCAACTGTAGTGATTGTCTCTTCAGCTTCACCAAGTACCATATTTAAATGTTGATCAAATGCCTAAGATTAAATCATGATTATTTTTTACTAAAATATTATTAAGTTAAAAAACCAAGTAATATATATTATCCTATAATTATAATATACTAATATTCAAATTTTATTTTACTATACGATTATATAAACAAATAATTACTAAAATATATGATTTAATTATTATTATATTAAAAGCATAAAACATATATGAATGTGGTAATTTTGTTTTTTTTAATTTTGTTGATAAACACTTGAAATACTTGATATTAATACAAAATAATTAAAAATATAATTACATGAAGACGTCCACGCAATTCACGGTCATGACGCATTTTTACATAAATACGTTCATCAACACTTAGTCTGATTAAATCAACTGGTTCTTTAATAGTAACTAATGAAACTGGCTAAAATATAAATTATTGATTAAAGTTTGAAAAAAATATTTAAATCTATAAATTAATTATATTTACTTCTGTTTCTCCTTCTGGCATAGTTGTATTTAAAAATTGTAGTTTAATTATAAAAATAAGAAAATAATTAATTAAAAAACTGAATGAAAAATTCTGACAACTTAGGTTGAAATAGTTAGGTTTGATAATCTAAGATTAATTTTGAATCGGTTATGTGTGTATTATAAATATTAGAAAATTTTTTAATATTTCAACCATAACCTAAATGTTGAATAGTTTATAATATCATCACTAGATCGCATTAAATATGAATATATTCAATATCAATATTCTGTTGTCAAAGGAATTAAATTTTAATCTTTCTCCAATTAAAGAAAGTTACTAAAATCATGAATTAACACAATACACAGTAAACATATTGAAATAAATTAATAACTTTTTTAGCAATAATTGTTCATCTATAAGAATGAATAAACAAAATGAAACCAATTCCAAGGGTGTTCTGAGAATTTTTTCTGGGTTTTTATCTTATTTAATTATCCGTAGCTTTACTTCACAAATTAATATTTAGAGAAAACACGTGAAACTAATATAAGCGTGTTTAAATGAAGAACAGTAGAAATTAAACCATCGCCAAAAAAATTCTTCCTATCTTGCGAGCATTACGTTAATAAGAAAATTACATTTTTCGTATATCCATTACTAATTAGTGTTAGAATTAATATATTTAGAGAAAATTAAATAGTATCAAAATAATTTACTTTGAATAAATAGTCAAATTAAGTACAGATTTGTTAAAAATATAATCAAAATCCACTTGGAATAACTTATAAAATTTTTATTAAAGTGATAAAAGAAATTAATCGAATTAAAATAGTATTATTTTAATTTCAAAAATTTGGAGATGTAATAGGTACTTTAAACATTTGAAAAAGTTCTATGTAAGAAAAAGGTAGTAATTTATCCATGTTATAAACTGCTTATTGTAATGAATTATGATTTCAACGATTTTAAAGACAAAAGTAAAAAAGTAATACTGTTAAAACAAAAAAATTTGAATAAAGTTTTAATATTATAAACGTTAAACAAAATAATTGTATTACGTTTAAATATTTATTAACGTTAAACTTAATTATAAAATAACGTTAAGCATGCCTAGTCTCTAACATTATTTGTGCCAATAATAGTTTTTATACTTCTTGATTTTCAGTCTAATTTATAAAAGTTCTAATTCCAAAATTGTGATTTTGTGATTATGCTTTGTTTAAGTTATAATAAAAAAAACGCATCGTTCAAAAGCACACTGTATCAAATATAACAATTTACTCTTGTATGAAAAATCACATACAAAAGTATAACCAAATTAACTTAATTTTATATCATAAAACGTTTTTTTCTTCTTTTGAAAAATTAACATTTTAGAATAAGGAATTTTACGAATTAGACTACAATTTTTTCATTTAATGATAAATTATACCTCTAACATAATGTATTTGTAATTTAGGGAAAATTTATTTCATCTAAGTTTTCAAATATTATTCTGCTCATCTTATGTATTTTATTGATAACTTTTTTTTGAAGTGGTGAAAACCCATTTAAGTAATTTTAGATAAAAAAAGAATTCTATCTGAATAATTGTTCTAACGTTAAATTAATTGTTTGTTTTAACGCATTTATTAATATTATAGGCTTCTTGAACTAAATGTTTAGTAACATACACACATATATTTATATATATACTTATCATACAAAAATAAATATTTAGGTAGGGATACAATATTATTACTTCATTAACAATAAATCTGTTATACTACATGTAATTGGTGGGAAATTTTTGATAAACAGGTTTTAGGTTTGTTTCACTCTTACATATCTAATAAGGTATATATATAAATGTATGTACGTATATATATAATATACTGAATAATCGATTTTTAACGAAGTACAAAATGTATACAAGTTGTGAAACAAGCCTTATAAGCTAACTTGTTCGATTGAATGTGAAAATTGATGCATTTACATTCGTTAGTTGTATATTTCATTTAATTACCCACGAACTAGCAGTATGGTGTTATGAAAAGTATTGAACATAAATAGAATAAACTCATATTTAGAAGGAAAAATGAATTTGCCGTATCTATTTTTTTCTATAATAAGCTTCATTGCACTTTCAGGTAATTAAAATATTAAGCGTAAAATATATCGGATTGTACCCAGTTATTATTATTTGTTATAGTTTCTCAGAAAGCCAGCCCAAAGTTTTTAGGTTGTTACATAGAAGATAATTTAGTATCACTAGGTGAAGAATCCCATGTTCTGACTTCAATTTCACCTAAATCATGCGCTGAACTTTGCCATGGAAAATCTTACCTTTTTGCCAACATCAAAGTTGAGTAAGAATTATTTCATACTTTAATGTATAATTTTATATAATTTAGTATCTCATTTTTTATTAATAAATTTACTTATTTTACTAAATCATTAACAATTTTAATTGATATTTTTTATTTACAAATAAAATAATTTAAAATAAATTATATGATTTATTTATGTCTTTTTGCATTTAATTTCGGTAGCTTATCTTTTATGATCATGAATATGAAAATATTAGAAACCAATTTAGAGAATTCTAATACTAAATATTTATAAATATTATTCTTTCTAATATATTTTTCAATGTTTATTTAAATTTTAAACATTGAATTAAGATAAAATTTAAAAATTATCGTAATTATATTTTTTACAATTGTTATTATTACAGTTATAATTCGATAGTATTAAAATATTTGTTGTTTCAGTATTTTTGAAACTAAAACTTATGAGATTTTTGAATTGCAATTAAATGATTTAATGTTTTATTTTAAAAGTGACAATCATCACTTTTGTTTGCTTGTTAAAATATTAAAACACCCAACCAATTATTTTTTGACGTCAGTGTAACAGTAATTTGACTGTAAAAACTTATTTTTCTTTCCATAGTATTTATAAGAAATATAATTTAAGATTCAAATTATTCATAAAATGTTGTTCTAATAGATAACATCATAGTGGAAATTTTCAATGGCATATTGCTTAATAAGTACGAGAGTTTAATAATTGTAATTAAATCAGTTTTTTTGTGTTATGTTATAATAAATAATATATTTTCTTAAAATATTTGATTAATTTAAAAACAACATCTCGTTTTTTATTAAATACGTCAGGCAGATATGTTTTTTTATGTTAGAGTTTGAATTATTTAAATCCCAACACCAATGATTAATACTTATATTTCTTCAGTGTATTTTTTAGACGTATATTAAATGTTTAATCTAAAATCATTAATATAATATAATATAATTTCGTATGATTTCTATACAGGATGATCGTTTTATTATAAATCACACCATTACTTTAAAAAAAATTCAATACTGAGAAAAAAATTTTCATTTCTTTTAGTTGTTATTTTTCAGCTGATAATTACTTTTTATGATCATCCCTTATAACTTAAAGAATTGTCAACTCTATTTTTTTAAAAGGTAACATACATATTTAACTAGCTTATAAAATAGGAAATAATCTAATTTAAAAAATGACTGGTCAATAACAACTTTTGAACTAGTAATTTCAGAAGTTATTAACAATTTCAAGTATAAACTGGAGGTATAAAGTGGATGCTGCCATTTTTAACACTAGTGATATCCCTGCCGTAATCTTCGTCTCTCATAATTATAAAAATGAGAATAACATCTAAAGTACTTTTCCAAAAGTTGTTATCGACCAGTCATTTTTTTAATAAGATTATTTCCTATTTTATAAGATAGTTAAATATGTATGTTACGGTTTAAAAAAATAAAGTAAGTACCCCTCTAGTTATAAGGGATGAATCTAAGAAGTAAATATTAACTGATAAATCAAGAATTATAAGTAACTAAAAAAAATCAAAAATTATTTTTCCATTGTTGTATTTATTTTGCGATTAATTAAGTGGTTTATGTAACCCAACCTATCGCTCTGTATTATTCTCATACTAACCTTGATTATATTATTGCGATATTATAATCATGTTTTTTAGTTATAAATAAGTAATAATAAAAATAAAGTTTTTTATTCCTGATTAATTTTTATGGAAAATGTTCTTTCTATAGCACCTGTCATTGTAGTAAACATTATATTTCAAGATTAATGAGGCAGTATGATCATGAGTGTAAGCAAAAATGTTCTGGAGATCTTACAGCATCATGTGGAGGCCCTCCAAATTTTGTTTCTGCATATATTACAGATAGTTCAAGTTAGTAAAATTTTGTACATCTAGAGTCATAGAATGTTAGTTAATTTAATTGAAATTTAAATATATTTGAGTCGATGTAAAAACAAATAACATGTTGTTATGAACTTATAGTGTATCTAAAACAATTTAATATTGATTTTTTATAAGACAGAGAAGAATATATATATATTTTTTATAGATGTTTCTAATTTTTTAATACTTTCATAGATTTATTTAAAATCAAATAATTGAAATCGTGGGTTTACAAAACTGATCACTCAATAAAAAAACTAAATCTTTTTTGTATCGAATTACTGTATGTATATTTTAAAATTTTATTTACACATAAATTCTATAAATAATGATGTATTTATACTATAAAACTAATAATATAACATAAATAATTGTTTGGTAAAAAATGTGTCATATTTCCCTAATTATTTATAATTAGTTAATTTATAATTAATTAATTGAATTATTAATGACTATTCAATTATGTTAAAAAAATTATTTTTGGTATTTTTAGTTCCACATATTTCTTTGTTTATTAGTTATTAATTATTTTTTCAGTCATCTTATACTTTATTTGAGTATCAACTTAATTTTTTTAAATGGTAATATACATAATTGACTAGTTTATAAAATAAAGTTGTCACCTTTATAAGGTATAAGGAATAAATTTAAAAATTAATTAATAACTGATCAATCGAGAATTATATGAAACTAATAAAATATCATAATTTAACAAAATTAATATAATTATTTTAAAAGTAATAAAGTGACTAGCGTTAAAAGACTTTTACTGCTCAGCAATCCGCTGGGGGCTTTTCGAAATATTTTTATGATAAATGTGAATAGTTTATGGGTTCTCAATGCTATCTACATCCTATGATGTGAAGACGTAAAGCCCATCTCTCTGCTTCTAAAAAAGATCAGGAAATCCTCATTCTCTACAAAAGAGTTAATTTCATAATATGATAAATTTCTAAATAATATTTTATGGAGTCCATTAGAAAATACATGCCGAGGGTCCAAACATGAAACAGACCGGCATCGTTCTTAATGTCTGAACATATACTATTTGTTGAGTATATATCTAATTAGATATAGAATGTTTTTTGTCTAAACAAACTTAAAAATAAGTAGATTTTAAAATATCTACTATTTTTAGTTTAAGTAATTAGATTGGACATTATTTATTTATTTTTTTATTAATGTTACTAAAAAGAATATGTATGTTTTAGTTAATTCGGGTTTAGTTAGTCGCGGTAGTTACCCTATTGCCATGTACTTGGGATGCTTCGCTGAGAATGCAAATGACGAAGAAAACCGTTTACTAAAAAATCCAATTGGTCCCAATAATCATAATACTCCACAAAAATGTTCAGAAATATGTTTTAAAAAGGGTTACGTATACGCTGGTGTAACTTATGGGTATGATTTCAATCTTAAATATATATATATTTTTTTTTTAAATAGAATTTCATCTTAATTTTATAAAATAAAACTAGTTACAGGTTAAATTAATATTTTGTATTAACATATAATGTTTTAATTAGATTAGAATGTTGGTGTGGAAATCAAAGACCATCTAAAACGTCTGTAGTTGAAAACTCAAACTGTGATGTTCGTTGCAGTGGTGACAAAAATCAATTTTGCGGTGGAGGATGGAAAATAGGTATATATGCTACAGGACTTACAGGTTAGTAATGTTCAAAACACGATTTTATTTAAAAAAAAGTAACAATAATAATCTTTGCGCATATTATACTAGTTTTAAACTATAATTGAATCGTTTATTTATGAAAAGGGTTTAGTCCAAAAATTATATTTTAGGAAAATTTTAAAAATGTCAAATTTTGCTATATAATTTTAATGCTTATAAAACTTATAATTAAATAATAATAATTTAAAGTAAAACTGTATAAGAAAATTAGATATCTTTAATTTCCTTAAAATTCAAATTTTTGTTTTCTAACCAAACGATTAATTTATAGAATATGTTGCCAACAATTATATTGGATGTTTTGAAGAAGAACAAAAAAAAAACAAAACCAAACTTTTAATATTCCAAATGGGAACTAATAACAGCCCAAAGCGGTGCATGAATCTCTGCAATTCTCAAACATTTAAATATGCTCTTCTAAAAGGGTATTTTACTACACAAATTATTTTGGAGTGATTTTAAAATTTTCAATATTTAAATTTTTAGTGATGTGTGTGAGTGTCAAAAAGCTGCAGTAAATAATAGACTGAAGAGAGATCAAAATTTTTGTAGTACATCATGTGTAGAAGACCCTTCTGAATATTGTGGTGGAAACAATGGTTATAGCGTCTATAAGACATTATATAATGGTATTAAAATAGTATCGTTATACATATTGTTATTAAATGTATATTATTTGCTAGTGATTATAATGTATAAATTTAAAAAATTGTATGTTTTTTTAATATTGATAAGATCATACCGGTGGAGTAGGAGTACACGCAATTGGTTGTTTTCAAAATTCTAGAAGACATCCAATAATGGACGGATGGCGAATAACTGTACCTAATCTCACCCCAAAATATTGTGTATATAGTTGCTATGCACGAAGGTTTCCATATGCTGCTCTAGTATCTGGGTAATTATGCAAAATATTATAAAACAAATTTAATTTGTTATTTGTTTTTGATATTTATAAATTTTATTTTTTGTCAAATTATCGTTAAAAATGCATTTAAAATTCTTATGTTCACAATATTTGTTTCATTTGTGCAAGACATTTTGTATCCAATCTTAATAACGAAATTTTAATACTTTAAAATAATTTAATAACTTAGTTTTATCAATAATATTTTGATTATTTTAGGAGGGAATGTATGTGCAGCTTTAAAAGGCCATTAGAGGAGTCAAGAGCGGAATCCGAATCGGCTTGTCATACTCCTTGTTCCGGCGCAAGAGATCAAAAGTGTGGTGGAAATAATGTTATCAATGTATACCATACAGGATTAAAATGGGAAACTACAGTAATGAGTAATCATTACATAGGCTGTTATGAAGAATCGGCAGACAACCGGATATTTAATGGCTATTCGAAGTCTTTTCCAGTTAATACTCCATCGTTTTGTACAAAACTTTGCTTTAAAAAAGGATTCAAATACGCAGGAGTAACGTATAAATCTGAATGTTTTTGTGGCGATCAACCACCAAATGAGTCAACTTTCTCGAAGGTAGAGGACAATCAATGTAATACCAAGTGTTCAGGAGATGCCAATCAATTTTGTGGTGGCGGTTGGCGGATGGGCGTATTTACTACTGGTTTGAAAGGTTATAATAACTTATATGGCTTTTATTTATAATAACTATATATATTATATATAGGTATTTATTTTCAGATCTTGATATTGAGAATCGAGATGTGGGATGTTTTATTTTGGATGAAAATGGATTGAATACACATACTGTAAAATATGAATTCGTCAATACAAATTCACCTAGTAGGTGTTCGGGACTTTGTAAGGAAGTTGGATACCGTTATGCTGGAGTTGCTAAGTATTTAACTTCATTATTCTAAAATTATTAGCATAAGATAATGTTTTAATTTTAATTTTAATTGTTTGTAGATTTAATTGCTACTGTACAAATCGCATCCCAGCCAATGACAACGCAGTAGATGATTCAGAATGTGGCAATATGTGTTCGGGTGATAATAGCCAAACATGTGGGGATAGTGACAGAATAAAATTCTTAAAACTAACAAGTTTGTACATAAAATAAAATTTTACTATAAAGTAATTATATTTATTAGTATATATGTCAGTAGATGAGCCAAATTTAGACAATCGTGATACAAATACCATCTTGGAAGAATTTGACAATTTAAACCTAGAATCATTGTGGAATTATGAAATATATATGGCAGGAAACAATGCACCAGTAAATAAAAATTTTAATTTTTAAAACTTTATTAAAAAAAATAAGTTTTTTAATCAATTAATTTAAGTTTCAATATTAAATGAACTTATCAAGAAGAATACTACATAGATTTTAATAAATAGAAAGTATAATAAATTAAGCTTTATTACTTCATGAGTATAAGTCACTATTTGTGTTAAACATTAAGCAGTTAAGACTATCAAGATAGTTTAACTATTATTTTTAACCTTTTACATTTTTTGAAAACAGGATTATGAATTTGTTATTTACAACAATTCTATAAATAATATCTTCATTCAAAATGGAGAACTTATAATAAGACCAACACTTTTAAATGATAGCGTTATAAAAAGAGGAAGTATTTCGTTGAATGGATGTACTAAAGTATTAGAATCTGATCAATGTACTAAAACCGCTTCTTCGTATAATATATTACCTCCAGTAATATCAGGAAAGTTGACAACAAGAAATTCATTTTCTTTTCTTTATGGTAAAGTTGAAGTTAAAGCAAGCTTCCCATCTGGAGATTGGATTGTACCTGGTATAATATTTTATATGTTATAAATCATAGTAAATTCGACATTTATTGTAAATTATTAAAATATTCATTATAGAAATCGCATTGGTCAGTAAAAGTAACGAACAATTGAAAATTGTGATAGCTTCAATAGCCGGAAACACTAATTTACGTTGTAATAATATCGATGAAAGTTCTAACGTTCTGAACTTTGGTATTAAAGCTGGCAATGAAAATGCACAGATAAATACTAAACTATTGAGATTATCTTCCGGGACATCTTGGTCGAATAGCTATCATACATACACAATTAATTGGACTCCTGATATAATGGAATTTGAAATTGATGGTAATAAACAAGTTTTGGATTTATCCTACCTACCATTAGATATCTTACATGAATCTGAGGTAACTTACTATTTTAATTTTTAAACAATACTTCATCAATAAATAAATTAGTAAATAATTTATAATGTATAATACACCAAAGTTTAAACGGATATTTTTTTAAACAGTTTTACATTTCAATTGGTGTATCAGTCGGTGGCATGGTAAGGTTTCCAAATAATTGTCAGAGCAATAGTCATGCTAAGCCATGGAAAAATGATGACATAAAAGTATATTTTTAATAACTAATGTATTTGATATAGCATTCAAATTTTGCTATGATTCCAGGCTCTAATTAATTTTTGGAGAGATAACACTTACTGGTTTCCTACTTGGAATCATGAAAAATCTGTATTACGGGTACAAAGCTTACAATTTACGCCATGGATAAATCCAAATTAAATAGCATTTGAAAACGTCATATTTATATGGTTTGACGAAACAATATTTTATTGACAGAATAGTTTTAAATGAGACAAAATTAATTTTTATAACTATCATTCTGTAATACATTACTTCTTGGAAGCAAAATTATATTTTTTGAGTCTTATATAAGAGTCAAATTAAAATAAATTTTACAACAAACAATTTTACTACAAAAAAAAAAAAATGTATAGAAATGATAGTTAAATACGGGTTTAAAGAAGTATAAAATCAATTTTATTTATGAACTTAAATTGAAAATAAATAAATAATATTTATAATAATTAAATTATAGTTATCACTTAAATACTACATACCACGATTCTTTTCATTAAAAATTTTAGATATATGTTTAATTTAGGAGTATATATTTTATAGATATCAGTTTTACATCCTTTTATTTTCCGAACTTAATATGCTACAGAGGGGGTGGTCCTATTTCACATGTTAGGGAGTCAAAGATAGTTCTTGGCTAGATCAATGATGGACGAGACGGATATTATGGCCGGCTTGCACCAGAGACCAGACACCATCATCCAGAAAATCACAAGAAAAATCTCGTAGGCACCCTGAGGATCGAACCCGCGACTTCAAACATACGTTTCTACCCACTCGGCCAGGCTGACCACTTTAGGAGTATATATAAAATATTTATCATCATTATTGCGACACGTTGCATTAAAATTAAAATATAATGAATTTCATAAATTATAAATAAACAGCTCTCCGCTAACATTTTTTTTTATTGATTCCTTTAGCAAATCTTAACAAATTATGAACGCTTCAGTTAAATTAAAAAAATATATTGTTAAATTAAGAATGCTAAAGTAATCATAATAACAACAAAAAAATAAAATATAAATAATTAAGTTGCACTATTTATACATTCTTCTGTTAGATTTTAACTAGTTATTTGAGTTTTATATTTCATTAGTGTACATAAAACATTACAATTGTTATTGTGTTGAGAATAATGATTTTCAACTAATTCACGTAATTAAAAAAAAACCAAATAATACTAATTAAGTGTCCTGATAAATTTTATGATAGTTTGAATTTCTATTAAAATATTAAATTACTCTACATTTTTAGAGTTTTTAATTTTTTAAGCTCATTGTAAATACTATCAAATACCAGGTTTATACCCAATTAATTAACATGTTTTATGTAAAATAATTTAATATTTTAATAGAAATAAAAAAAAGTTTTATCTAATTATTTTACCTAAATCGCGTAGACTAGATGAAAAATCATGGTAATGTATTTAAGAATAAATTTACACGAAAATAAAATTGACGAGAAATTCGTAGAAGTTTAATGAAAATATCAAGTAAGCTATTTTACTAAGAAATTCTAAATGCATAAATAGTGTTATCAAAAAAATATCAAATATACTTTAGACTATATAGACTATTACATTGTTGTTAATACTTTGTAAAATTAGTTCACGTAAGGTACACATTACAGAGCTTTTTAAGAGGATTTAATTTCTAAAGTGCAGGATTAATTACTAATATACCAACACCTATTATTTTATTAAAAAAAAAGAAGTGATACTAAACTTATGCAAATTTTAAAAATTTAACAAAAAAAAAAGTGACTGTTACTAATATCTATGCGAATGTAAAATAGGTTAAAGAATATTTTATTCTATGACTATCCTATTCTTTAAGAATTAAATAGAACGCCGGGTTACTATATAAGATTTTGAGAAAGTTCCACGGGTAAATATTTTTTTTCTTCTAAACTTTTTTTCTTATATTTTTCATGCTTAACTGTTATTGTGGTAGATGATAGTTATTATCATAACTTACCATACAATTAAATATGAAATCTCAAGGACCATGGTTATAATTTAAAATTTTATTTAAGGAAATTCATTTTTATTAGAACATCGGTGATGTTTACACGTTAACAATTCTACACGCATCATAACTTATTAATATATTCGTTATTTTTTACAATTGTTGTTTCTTTAAAATAAGTGTAAATATGAAGAGCTCTTTATATTTTAATAATTCTCGTTTATGATATTTATATTTTAATGGAGAACAAATGGTGAGTATTAAATTTAATTAACAGTTAATTTAGTTTTAAAAATTGAATTATTTTACTGAACAATAATTAATGTACCTAAAAAATCCCATCCTTGATTATAAAAACCATTTAAGTTTACAAAGATATTTTATACTTTATTTACTAACATTGAAATCATTAAAAATATTTTACTTCTATATAATGATTCTAGTTTTTTTCATAAGTTAATTTTACAATTGGTATCTAGTTAACTGTATAATAGCTAATTAATATGCTAGGGTTATTATATTTTACACATAAGATATGTAAAAATATTATAAATGATTAGGATTGAAAATTATACTTGAAATAATATGTAATAGTGTTTAATAAAAAATACAATAAAATAATGATTATTTCTTTAAGGATGTAAATCATAAAAATCTTTAATTGCTATAGAAATGATCACTTTGTTTTTTAAATTAAGCATTATACTTGTTTTTTGTTTAACTTATGAAAAATTAAAAAAAAGAACAAATATTTTTTTAAGCCTATCAGGGAAGATTTATAATTTATAACATTATTTAGAATATTTGTATATAATGTAATCTTATATTAAAAGTGCGGCGTTTATCGAACGTTCAATTCTAGTTAATGACCATTTTTATTATTACTCAAAGAAATTTACATAATCTTAAATTAAAATTTATTTAATAGTTTCATCAATAAATAGTACTATAAAATAGTTTTTATGGGTCTGTAAAATGTTCGTTGTATGACAAGAATTTTGTTTTTAATGAAAATGGTGTTTTTTTTTTTTGAGAAATAATGGGATTTTAAACAATGTACATTCATTTGTTTTGTTATTTAAGCATTCATTATATTTAAAATGTAAAAGTTTATTTTATATATTTTGTTTTTGTATTATTTGAGAATCAAAATTATACAAATAATTTATTTGCACAATTTTACAAAACGCTAAAATTAATACAAAAATATTAATTATAAAATTATTGTTTGTTTTCAACATATAAATATTATAAATTTCTTTAATTTGAAGTCATTATTTTATTACCATGTAAAATGTTTGAAAGTTTTAATTGGCTCTTAGCTTAGATCAATCGGCGGCTTTAGCTTTTGAAATTGCTGGGTTTGTATATATAGAATTGTATATAGGATATGTATAGTATATTATTATAGATATATATAGTAAAAATTGTATTAATCCATACATTTTTCAAAAAGTTTTAGCATTTTAAATTTAAATATGTAAAATATAAAATCAACAATTTTAACACAAAAAAAGCATACGTTAGTTATTTTCACGTTGAAAACAAAATAAAGTCCGAAATTTTTTTTCCATAATAAAGTATATTACATAAGCTTTAATTTAAGGTATAGATAATATTGTTAGTATTTTCGGAACATTTTCAAAAGTTAATTTTTTGTGAAAAAGTTGATGGTTCAATTAGATTAAATTAGATTTTTTTTTAAGGTATAAATCATTAAAAGGTCTATTGAAAGTTGAACATTTTTATGAACAAACAAAAAAAATGCAGACTACAACTAAATTTTACCTTCCCAATTTTACATAAAAGTTATCATTAATGTTGTGGTGTTTGTTAAAAAAAAAAAAAATTCATAAATAAACACAAGTTTATTAAAAATTTTAAATGTTCAAATTTTCTGATTTTTATTTTATAATTTCTTAAAAAAGTTCTCATTTTAAATCCTCTCTGTGGTAGGTAAAGGGTCAGATTTATAAAAAAATATATATTAATTTGATCATTTTAGAAAAATTTAAGACAGTTTTAAGTAAAAAAAACCCAGCACAGTGGTGACGTGGCATAGATGGATCATGTATAATGATATCTGACAGTGATTAAAATCACTATAAAAAAAAAACGCTTCGATGCAAATCTTTAGATAGTGTTTAATTTTAAAAATTGGTGGATTATTCCAAAAGCTTCATAAACTGCTAGTTCCTTATAATATCCTGATTAAGGTAAAGTATGTCGAATGAAAAACGGGATTATTAAAAAATATTATTTCTTATAAAAAAATAATGTTGATCCATACACTTTTAAATATGTCATAGCATTATAAAGTTAAAAATGTAAAAAATAAAATCGAGAATTTTCACATAATAATAGAATTTGGTAGCCATTTACACCATGAAGATAAAATAAAGTCCGAAAATATTTTTTGGCATAATAAAGTAGANAAAATAAAGTCCGAAATTTTTTTTTCGCATAATAAAGTAGATTACATTAACTTTAATTTAAGATATAAATAAAAGTGTCAGACTTTTCGGAACAGTTTCAAAATTTAAGTTGAAAAAGTAAATTTTTTGTGAAAAAGTTGTCATTTTAAACCCCCCCTGTGGGCAGGTAAAGGGTCAGATATGAAAAAAAATATATACCAAATGATAGGTAAAGACATCATGCATCTATAAAAAAAAAATTATATTGATCCATACATCTTTCAAAAAGTTATAGCATTATAAAGTTAAAAATATAAAAAAGAATTTTTTTACAAAAATCGAATTTTTTTTATAAACTTTGATGTCTGTTTTCACCATGAAGATAAAATAAAGTCCGAAATTTTTTTTTACCATAATAAAGTATATTACATTAGCTTTAATTTAAGATATATATAAAAGTGTCAGACCTTCCGGAACACTTTCAAAAGTTACGTTGAAAAAGTTCTACTTTTTACATGCATTTTTTAGATTTGAACCCCCTCGTATATAGGGAAATGGTCCGATTTTAAAAAACAGTATGTCAAATGAAAGATGTATATGAATACTACTCCTCATAAAAAAATTGTACTGATCCATAAATTTTTCAAAAAGTTATAGCATAATAAAGTTAAAAATGTAAAATACAAAATCGAAAATTTTCACACAAAAATAGCATTTGGTAGCCATTTTCACCGTGAAGATAAAATAAAGTCCGAAATTTTTTTTCCATAATCAAGTATATTACATAAGCTTTAATTTAAGGTATAGATAATATTGTTATATATATAAAAGTGTCAGACCTTCCGGAACATTTTCAAAAATTAAGTTGAAAAAGTTGTCATTTTAAATCCCCTCTTGTGGGCAGGTTAAGGTTTAAATTTATGAAAAAAATATATCAAATAAAAGGTAATGATATTATGCATCTATGTAAAAAAAAATTATATTGATATGTTTTTTTTTGAAAAAGTTATGGCACTTTTAAGTAAAAAAAATTGAAAAAATTTCGAAA